AGGGCGAGGAGCAGGGCCTTCAGGGCGGGGACGTTTCGGCTGCGCTGCGGCGGCGCTGGCGCCAAAACCGGACTCCGCCCACTTCCTCGCTCTGGGGGTGGGTATCTCCCGGGGCCGGGAGGTGGGTGGTGAAGGGAACTTGGCTGGGGCGGGATCGGGAACGAAGAAGGGTGCCCTTCGGCCCCCGAGACTGGACCCCACAGATCCTCCTGGCCAGGGTCAGGTTGGCGGAGCGCGCAGTGTAACGTGTTGGCTAGAAGTGGCTTCGGGTGTACCCGGAAGGGGCCGAGTCAGCCCGCGGCGCCGGGGGAGGGAAGGGGGAAGGGAAGAGCTGCGGGGAGGCCACACAGATTTCCCCGGGGCAGCAGGCCAGGAGGGAGCACTGTCCAAGGCTGTGCTGAGGGAGGGGGCCTCGGGGCTGCGGATCCAGCTCCACCCGACAGCTTTAGTCTCCAAGGGCGCGACCGTTTCTCACCTGCCCTGCGCTCAGGCGGGGGCTGGAAGCCGGCTCCAGCGAGGGAACTGCGCCGCCGCGAGCCTCCCGCAATTCACGGAGCCGGCTTACGCCAGGGACGCCCCGCGCTCCCCGGGGCGGGGAGGAGGGCGGAGTCCACCGTCGGCGTAAGGAGGGCGTGGAGGGTTCCCGCCATTGGCGGCAGTTAGGGAGTTCACGCAGCGCCCTGACGTAGGGACGCGTCGGTGGGAGGGAAGGTTCTAGAAAAGCGGCGGCCGCGGCCGGAGCGGCATTAGCAGCGGCGCCGGCTCAGCGTGCGGACGTGCCTCTAGCCTTGTTGTTTCTCCAGCGGCGGCAGTTCTCACTACAGCGCCAGGACGAGTCCGGTTCGCGTGCGACCGCGGAGATCTCTCTCATCTCGCTCGGCTGCGGGAAATCGGGCTGAAGCGACTGAGTCCGCGATGGAGGTAACGGGTTTGAAATCAATGAGTTCTTGGAGAGGGCATGGCGCGGCCGTTGGCGCCTTTGTGGAAGCCGGCCCCCCCGTCTCGCGGGAGAGCGGCCGCGGAAGTGGGCCACTCCAGAAGCGGTTCGTCCCAGGACACGATCGCAGAGGGGCCCTTGGCCGAGGCCTGTTTGTGCTGCACGTTCCCCACCCTTCAGCCTCCCGGCGCCATTTCCCTTGGCTGGGGGTGGGGGATGGGGATCGCCCACATGGCGGACGCAGCCCCGCTTTAGGGAAAGTGGGGCGTGGAGGCGGGAGGTGCTCCGGC